GAAAACAGATTTTGGCTCAGATCTGCAGCTGGTGTAAATCAGCATAGCTCCATGAAAGTCAGCTGATTTCCACCAGCTGAGGATCTTGTCCTTCATTTTTAAGCTTCCAATAAGAAACTATAAAATTACATTGTCTTAATGCTTAAGATTCATGAAAAATACAGAGTATTCTTTTAATATTTCATGAATATATTCAAAAGACCAAAATCTTTACTAATAAGGCTGAGGCATATGTTTATGCAGGAGTCATGAAACTAGTGTTGAAGAATTTGGCAAAAATAGTTCTCTCATAAGAGTCAGATTCTGAGTTCTATACTAATTTATAACAGTAACTGCCAGAATGCTCAGTCATTTTCCAAGAAATCTATATTTCTTGGATGCATTATCCCAGCTGGTCTATTGATTTCATGGTTCTCCATTCCAAATCACAGTTCCAGCTCATTGATGATTCTATCCAGGACTAGTTACATGAGGTGTTGTTGAAAGCCATCTTTCCTTTGAAGAAGCATGTGTTTCCCTGACAGATGCATTGAGCCAATCTGATAGTCTCCAAACTTCCTACTTCTGGGTTTTGCCTGCAGGAGGAGGCAAGCTGTTTTCTGCAATAAACTTTTCTCCTTCAGCCCACACTGATGGCCACAATCCATGTTCTAAATCACTGTCTTCATGAGCTTTAAGTAAATCCTCCTTCAAATTCCCTTCTAATTCAATGGCATGTTGTAAATCAAATACAGACCATTATAACTGTCTTGAGACTATACTGAGCTCTTCAAAGATATTCTTAGAAAGCATCAAGCATATGGGAAGCTTTGGGTACATTTTCAGCATGATATAAAAGGATTTAGTCATAGGATAGACCTTAGCAAGCTTAGAAGCTTGATAGCTTGAGCTTTTGCAAACATTCAGATGCTTAACTTTTTAAGCATAGGAGTTATCCCATTAAAGTCAATGAGACTCTTACCTTTAGTAATTCTTACCTTTAGTAACTGGTTTGTATTTGCCTCTTTCACAAAGCACCCAAAGGCTTTTTGGTGGCTGGCAGGGTCTTATGGCTAATAAAACATAAAATCTTCTAAAAGACGCCACTGTCACAGATCACCAAGAGACTGGAGCCAAGCAGGCACAGTTATTAAATGTTTTTCTAACAAATAAAGCATAGGCAGTATAGCCAGACATAAACACTGTACAAGATCAAAAGCTTAGGGCCATCTAGATTTGTTCACACAAGTCACAAGATGACATACCTACAGAATTACATACAGAGATAGACTGAGCAAAATAGCACACAGGCTATGATACAGGATCTGTTTTTTTCCGGAGGAAAATCCAGCTTTTTTTTCCAAACCATTGACAAAATTGAAAAGCCCATTTTGCCAGAGAGCCTTGGAGTGTTTTCTCCTCTCCCCTTATACATATGCTTTTGGTAAACACTGCACAGCTACGCAGTGAGACTAGAAAGGATATAGAGATGACAGCCGCAACTATGAAAACTAGGAACAACATGAGTAATTGTTCTGATGTTTGGATACAAATCACCATTTATGGTAGAAGTTTTCTGGGAGATTTGTACCAGTAAATATTGGTTTAAAATTTGAACCTGAACCCAACCCTAGATATATGGCTGCCTGATTGTACATGGAGTATAATGCTGATCATCAATTCCCATTTAGAACCCTGACTTTCTGATTGTTTTGTCATTAGTAACGAAACCTTTATAGAGCACTTTACATGTTCAAAGTGCTTAGCAAATCGTAACTCATTCACTGGTTCTCAGCTCTTTTCCATACCATGACCGCAGTTAATACAGAAAAATGTTTCAGGACCCTACCTCCCCTGCCCCCCTTTTCCATCTAATCCTAAAAAAAGGGACGGTAGTCACCCTTCTCCTTGATCTCTCTTTCAGGAGTTGCAACTCTCATGTTTAGAACCCCTGAACTAATTAATCCTCTTAGATGCTGAGTTCTGTCACCTGTGGAGACTAATCCCAGTAGGCTACCCTTGTGAGTTAGGTATCTATTAATCCCCATTTTCCAGACAGGGTTGTGGAGGTAGACAGGTGAAATATTTTGCCCAAGCTTACAGAGGTAGGGATATGATTAGAACACTGGATCAGGCAAATGCCATTCCCACACAGTATTCCAGCTCACTGTCTCCTGACAAATCCAAACCAATGGACACCTGCTTATTTTCTTTAACCATCCTTGGTTTTGCCTGCTTTAACAGAAAAACAAATAGCCAAGCATCTTTCTTCAGTCATTGTTTTGCTTGACAGGCCTATCAATAAGGTCGGTGCTATTAAAGTACTTGCCCTTTGATGCATTTGTGGATGGCTTTCCAATGGAGAGATAGCAATTTTAGGTGCATCTTCCTTATTCTAAATACCCTAATGAATAAATTCATTCCCTGTTCATTACCAGACTGTGTATTCTTCAGGGAAAATAATAATCAGCCTCTTCTTTGGATCTCTACCAGAGCCAGGGACTGCAGCCATGCCATTTGGATTAAAAGAGCTTTATTCTTGCCCAGTTTTCTAGCGTGGAACCACAGTGACTGACTGTGTTGGCATCCAATCTGTTCTCTAAGTCCAACAGGCCTGGTAGTTCTGGACTGTGACTTTTTTATACTACAGTACTTACATCTGGGTAGCAGACTCTCTTCATTGGTGAGTTCTGAAATATTATTTCCCACCACAAAATAATGCACTGACTTTTTTAGATTCATCTTTCTCATTGTCATATGCATCTGCTGGCCTCTTTATTCCTATGTTCACTGAACTGGCTTATAAGCTGTTTTCCTCTTTTATTCCTCTCCTTCCCTGACTTGTACAAATTGGTCTGAAGAATCACTTCATCTGTTTCAGACACCTCTGCTTTTGGAAAGAAATTCTCCAATATCCATTTCTTAATCCTATTCCTAAACAATCATAACTACAAAAATGTGAATATAAATATGCCAATATGAAGCCAGTTTGCCAAATGTTGATGATACTGACTTCATACAGCACACTCTGAATACTGCACAAGGTTTTAGCAGTTGCATAGTCACTTAGGGCTCAACAGGGTGGATCAATATTCTGTAGTGAGCCAACTTATTCAGTAGGGAGATCAGTCTCTAGAAATGAAAAATAAAGCGTGACTCTTATGTAGCACCAAGTTGGAACACAGAGAAGGAGGTGCCCCACAACTTCAAACTCTTTCCTCTCTTTTCCCCCTCCACAGCCGTGCAGAGAATTTTAAAGCCAGGAGTAAATCTCCTATGAACCTGTAGAAGGGATTTAGGTTTACTTTGTACTAATTCTCCTGTAATTTAATACAATCAAATGATGTGGGGAGGTTTCTGCACCATTTTTAGAGCTTCAGTGTCTTAAAAAGAAAATCTTTGGACTTTTTCCCTTTCAGTGTTTCCTTGGCTGACTGACTATTTGTTCTTAACATCAGCCAGGGGAAATATATTTTGGCCTCCGCTTTCTCATCGATAGTGGAAGAAAATGTTCAGCTGGTATACGTAGCAATCCCTGGAGGAAGAAGCTTATCACTCAGGCCACCAAACAGCAGGAACGTTTTAAATTTGGCCTAGCAAACTGGGATTAGTCTCCACAGCCTCCAGCACTCAGCAGCTTCAAGGCTAAATATGGTTGGACAGACCACTTACTGTAAGTTGCAACCATTTAGAGTGAGACCCTGGCCTCACTGAAGGCAGTGGAAGTCTTGCCATTGTCTTCAATGGAGCCAGGATTTCACCCTGAATATTCTCAAAGATCCTTCTCACATACGCACTCTTCAACACAGTGTCCATTAAGCACTGGCCCTTATGTCAAGAAAACCCAAGTTGCACCTTGTGGGATGGTCCTAGCTTGTCTTGGAGAAAGGACAGTTTTGCTAAGTACCACAGGATATTTTCCAAAGATCTCCCCATTTAGGATACAGCCAGACCTGAACTTCAGGCCATATTTTCAAAAGCCTGCATATGCATCAGTCTGGCTAGGCAATCAGAATATAGGCATGCACAGAATTACAGAATGTTCAAAGTGGAGTGTCTGGGCATGTGAAGAACCTCTGCTTCCCAAAATGTAAGCATGCACTAATGGGTGCAGCTACAGAGACTGGCATACACTACCCCTTCTTAGAATTATGCAGGGCCACATCAGGCACATACAAGGTAGGTATGGCTTTGGCAGGTATAAAATATCCAGTCCAGGGAGAGGCCATCCCATGCATTGGAATTAGAGTGGGTGACCCAGCAACCAAAGAAGAGCCAGTATCTGAGGCAGAGAACAAACACTTGACTTTGAAAGAGAAATGGCCAACATTAGCTCCACCCACATGGACCAGTTTCAAGCATATGCAATAATAGAATTCCCCAATGATTCAATAGAGTAAACTCTCTCCTTAACAGAAAGCCTGAGGCTTCCCCCTTGTGGAAATGGCTAAAGGCTTCCTCATCTCCAGTCCCTTCAGAGGGAAATTACAACATGGACTTAAGGGCCACCAGGTCTCTCAGAGAAAGCCTTTGTCTCACTTTCTCAGCATCACCCCCACCCCTAATGGACAAGGCTATCCTTTCAGTTTGGAAGCCCCAACATGCTGAATGACCCTGGCTTATTGCCATACCTAATATCATTTTGCACATGTTAATGCTCCATTAACACAAGTTAATGCAACAGGTTGGCCATGGCTTCAGAGGCTTCCATATACCAGAATATCAATGTGTAGGTTTTTAAAGGTAGCCTACTGAGTGTCCACAAAGGAGTTTGTCGAGCAGTGTGAGCACGCAGCACTCTGCGCAATGTTAGCTGAAGGGGTGGAGACCTATACTTTTGATGCTAAAGGTCCCAGGTTCAATCCCCATTGACAACCCATGGTGGTGGGTCATTACAAAATTGTGGCCACTACAAGGATTTGAGTTCCTGTGGAGCATCAGAAGCTGGAGGAACCAGGCTTGCCAAATGAAAGAAAACAAGAATAGTAAAGAAATACCTTTTATTTTTAAGCTTTCAAGAAAGTGTTACAAACAAAAAGTACCTTATAACAAACACAGACATCACTTGAGCAGGGGCATCATGTGCTATGGGTTAAGAGGGGCAGTTGCCCACCCCAGTTATTGGTTTGCCCCTCCCGAATTTTCATAGGTCTATATTCTTCATTATATTTTCTACTTTGTGCTTCCCATATAAATATATTTCAGGAATATAATATAATCACATATAATGTTCTATATGCTGACACAACTTTGCCCCCCAACCCCCATATATTTTTTTCCCAAAATTATGCCCCTGACCTGGAGGACACTTGGAAAAGCAGATGGGGATCCTCAACAGAGTAGCCTTATTTGTGGAATTCAGCTTCCCTTGGCAGTCTGCCCCATTTCAGGTTCACTGACTGTCAGAGCATGGTGTCAGGCAAGTTTATATTATCTGGCCATAGCTGGAGATGGGACATTGTACGGGGTGTGCTCGTGCTCTGATGTGATACTGAGCATTCTCTCTCTCTCGGGTGCTTTGCTGCCTGGTTCTTGCTCATATGCTCAGGGTCTAACTGATTGCCATGTGTGAGGTCAGGAAGGAATTTTTCCTCAGATCAGATTGGCAGTGACCTTCTGGGGGCTTCATCTTCCTCTGCAGCCTGGTGTGCAAGTTGTTTGCCATGATCATCTTGGAATAGCTCAGTTCCCTGCCATTGCCTTGAGCATTGGTCCATCTGGGGTCCCTTCTATTCTCTGCCTGTGACGTGTATTGGTTTGGTCTCCTGAGGACTGTTAATATCTTGATCTAATTTCAGTTGCTGGATTCAGTGTGCAGCTGCTGGGTGGAGGTGGTGGCCAGTGATATACAGGCAGTCAGATTAAATGATCTGCTGGTCCCTTCTGGCCTAAAATTCTATGACTCCATGGCTTTTAAAGAACCTAAATATGGCTGCTTTAGGATGCAGATTTATGCCAAGCAACAGTCATAGCACCAATGGGCCACTAAGCTACCTTTGTGGGTAGTTTCCATATATAATTTTTGTGTGTTTCTTTTAATACTGTAGGGTGCCAATAGATCCTGGAAGAATGCCCTGCCTCCCTCCTAGTCATTTCAAAATCCTCTATCTTTGGTTGTCACATGCAGTCTGTAGATTGCACTTCAGCTTCCATGCTGTTAAGGCTGTTGGTTGGGGGCATTCACATCAAGCTTAACTCGTGTTATTAGCATAAACTGTTGCTTTTCTAAGTGTTATTTTTAACGTGACAGTGAGAGAATTAGCTGCTTTTCCAGGCATGAGATGAGGGAAAATTTGTGGCACAGGAGAAATAAGGGCCAAATTTTATGCTGATTTACACCCATATAACCCCTGTGAGATCCTGTGGCTGCAAGACAATGCAAAATGTGGCCTGTGTCTATCTTTAGTGTAATGCAGAGACATAAGTGTTGCTAAAACTATGGGTTTTCCTTGTATGTTATTCAATTTATGTCCCCATATGAAACTTTCTCTTGCCTTAGGGGTATATATATTGATTCATCACCCAGGGAGCTCTACTTCAGGATTACTATCTTCAGTGTTTAGATGAGATAAATTATCAGTATTTAAAAGTCCTTATTAAAAACTTTTTACAATAAAACGTTCTCTAAGATCTTTTCCAAGATGTTGACACAACATAGTTTTTTCTTGAAGCTTTTTTCTTCTTTAATTTTAATATTTTGTTGCCTCCAGAGAATAAAACAAAGAAATTGATACGAATCAGGAGAGAACAGGAGAACTTACAGTTAACCATTCCCAACAAAAACACACTCACACAAAATAAATTCATCGGGTAAAGAATTGTGAAAGGACCTGCTGGCTCCCGTGCTATGAAGAGGTCTTGATCATGTTAGAAGTTTTCAATTACAGAATAAGTTCATATTTCAAAATATAAAATATTGGTAAAACTGAATAATCAGAGTCTTCTGTGGTAACTGCAAACTGAAACCAAAGTACTAGACCTCTGTATCACCAGGCAGAGAAAGATGGGTGCTTGCTAGTCTGCGCAACAGAAATTTTCAAAACAAACCATTTACATTGTACAAATCTCAACTTGTGATCTTGTCAGATAACATATTCTAAGGGCCAGATCCTGCAAATACTTCAGCAGGTGAGAAACTGTACTCAGTGAGTAAAGTTACACATGTGCTTAAGTGTTTACAGGACTGGAGCTTAGGTGAGACTGGTCTGTATGTGGCAAGAAAGCCTAAAATAACAGAAGAAAGAAAGAAAGAAACCTTAAGTGCTGCAGAAAGCAAGTCTGATGATCATGTAGACAACAGTCTCCCCCAATGGGTCTGTTATTGAACTAGTGCCCACAGTGTGCTGTTGGGAAAGGAAGTTTATTTTTATCATACAGGATTTGAGGCATTTGTGGTCATAGTGGTACTTGCAAGATTATGGCCTCATCCCTCGTGCCTTAGATAAATTCCAGTTTGGGTAGCTGTGTCCTGTTTCTCCACAATTCCACCACCAGTTGCAACAAGGAGATTTCAAACTCTCTCGTGATAGGCATGCATTGAAGTCAGTGGAGTTACACCAGCAGAGAATCTAGCCCAACAACCTTCTCGTCATAAACTGTTATTTCACTTCAGAAGTGGCTGAAAAGATTACCTGTTCAATTTAAAAAAGGAAATGGGAGAAATCTTAGAAAGTCATCTGGATAATTCAAAGGAAGGTTTAATTTCAAATGCAATTATTCCCAAATGCAAATGATCTTTCTTTTAGATTTTCTTGGTAAACATATAGCTTTGGAACAGTAACTGGGACATAAGCATTCTTTACTGACTGGGTTTCTGTTATCATATACTTTAATATTTGATGTTCTGATCTTCACATTTTTTTAAATTTGGCCTCTAGGAAAAGCTGCTCTGTAATTTCTGATCTTTCTAACACTAGGAATGAGAATTTTGTTTAGTGTGTTGACTGACAATATGTATAATTCATGTTTCTGAGCCAAAGTGTTTTTTAACTTTAACAACAGCTTTGCATTGACTGTAGTATTTCTCCCCACCTTATTAGATTTTATCATATTACCAGTATCATTATTTCTAAAGCAAAAAATAAAATGTATATCATCAAGATGTTAATTCTAACAGGAAGTCTTACTTGAAGGCTTAAATTCAAACCTTTTATTAAAATTTCCCAACACAAGAAATCCTCCCTTATGTGTATCTCTCTTTTTCCCCAATATATCTGTTCTGTGGTCAGATAAATTATGTTGGTGGTTGGTTCTGCTAAAAACCCTTCCAATAACCTTTGTTGCCAGAACACCGAGCTATAAAAATCAGTTTTAGCTCCCATAGTTCCAGTAGGCACACATATATTAAGTTTGAAGTATTTGAAGATTCCCTGCAATTATCATTCTCCTTTTAATAGTGCAATATATAATGGAAATGCTGTGAAAGAGTGTCACTCTGGTCTATTTGGATTACCTGCAGCTACAGGAGTGAGTGCTTTCTAATGTATAATGAATGCTGAGGCTGTGCTTAGATTTGCCCAAGGCTTGTTTTGCCTTAAAATGCTGCATTTTGTTTGGGGGTTGTTTGTTTCAGGGAAAACTGTTGTTGTACCTTAAAAGGGTTTAACAATAGTCCCTGGAGAATTTTGGGGTTAGTGTTCCACATGTCTATATTTTCAATACTGGTTGGTGAAAGCAAGCACCGAACGTTTTGCACAGCTGATCTTTTATATGCTGGTCGAAAGATTGTCCTTGAAGAAAACCCCTATTGCTGTAGCAGCATAGCCAAGACTATAACTGGGCAGAGAGGTAGTCTACTCTGCTGTTACACCAGGACATTCAAAGGGAGGAGTTGGGAACTCAACAGTCTACATCTAATAGAGATGAGACTGTTAAAGAGGCCATAGGAAACCAATGAATATTCTTGTCTACAACCTGTTTTTCTGGAGGAGTGACTATATCTGAGCAAGTAAATATGTATTTATTTTTAACATTCTAGAACTGAGATAAGAACCATGCACAGAAAGTGTATCAAGTGCGCCAGGAGTCAGTATGTAGGCCCAAGATCTCCACATCCATGACTCTGTTCCCCTTAGACACACAGGTTCTGCAAGCCAACCCCTCTACTATTTCTGCAGGGAAGCAGAGAACAACTCCTAATTCAAACCCAATGGATGATACAGGTGGTAACTGAGTGCAAACTCACTGCATTTCCTCTACGTGGGAAGTGCCAGACTTAATTCTAAATTTCCTTCGTTAGATTAAAGTTAGGGTCCTTAACCCTCTTGTTATAACACAGGCTTTGTAGTCTGTTTGCTATAACACTAAGTATTTCTATAGCACTTTTTATCCAGGAATCTGAAAAAAACTTTACCAGTATTAGCTCACCCTCAAAAAACTCCTATTTCTTCAAGTGTTATTTTACAGAGGGACAAACTGGGGCAAAGAGAGGTTACAAGATGTGCCAAAGACACACAGCAGCCCTGGTGTAGCCAGGAACAATGTCCAGGAATCTTGGTTTACAGATTCCTGTTCAAACCACTAGACCACACTGCTATCCTAATTAATGATATGGGCATAGCATTGGACTTTTCAAACTTGCATGCTTTCTCTTGTCTATTTGTGACAATTTTATGTTAAAGTAAAATTATTGGATCAGAATAGTGGGTTTTTTTTATTACTATGGTACAAAATCCATTTTTAGGCCTACTTTTCTTGCATTAGCAATATAGCCTGGTAAAAATATTTTCTACATTTATGTCCAAATCTTAGACAAATTATTCCATTATAAAATGAAAAATATATATTTTCTGACATGCCTTTTGGCCATTTAAAATGTTCCTATTCTTATGGGATTCAACAACTGTTCCTTAAAGCATGCCACGGGCATGTGAATGATAATGCAATCATAAGCCCAGGTCTGAAAAGACTCACATACAAACATTTTCTTGGATTTCCAACAACTTTAAAAAACAAGGTTTGGCAACTGCAAACAAAACTCTTGTAGCTTTTCGCTGTTCACCCATTACACATGCAGAGCCCAGCACTGAAACAGATTTGCCATTATGATTCCTCTTGCAACTTTTGGTCATCAAAACTACCTACAGTTTAAGTATCACTAATAAATAGCATAATGACATTTTTTCTCAGTTATTTTGAAAAAGGCCCATATATGGACCCTGGTCCCTGGAGAATGTAGCAAATTCAGCACAGGCAAAGCCAAATCCTGCAGACTTGGGAGTAAGTGCTAGTTTTTTCTTGAAAGATTGAGCCCAGAGAGTCCTTCCAGATTCAGAAGACAAACTGGTTTAGTGATGGTCCCCAGGAAGTCAGCTCACTTATTTTTCTGGGTCAGCCACTGGCAGGAATACTGTCACCCTGGAATGACTGAAAGATCAAAATGTCTAAAGAGGGAGAAAACTCGCTCGCTTGTTGAGAACTATCTTACAAATAAGAAAACAGCAGCATGAGAAATGGGGGAGACAGGGGAATAGGTAAAAGGATTAGGGGACAAGATGAAATGTGACCCAACACTTGAAAGATTTCAATATATGAAATCGTTTGTTTTCCAATTGCCACTCTCCCAGAAGTCCCTACTGTAATCAGCCAGTTAACTAGTTACATGTGTAATCCACACTAGGAGAGTGTAGTTCTTTGTCCTGTTCTAGTGGCTGGTTCATATATGGGATAAAATCCTACTCCAACTACCAGCTAGAAGAGTTACTACTTTAGCTCAAGCTTGTTTTTAGCAATGAAGGTCAAACCTCAATGATGGCCCTAGTGTGGGTCTCTCTCTCTCTCCCTCTCTACTTAAATATATTGTAATGGGCTTCTCTCCCTCCACTAGCTGGGTTGCAGGTGGGTGTGGTTCAAGAGAGAGACTCAGGAGGCTGGATGGGGAAACAGGTGCTGCTGACAACTTTGGCAGCGTTTAAGTTTGTTCAATTTTTTTGGACAACTTGGTCTTGCCTCATTCTTTCAGACAACCCTGATGCTGCAATATCTGTCCATAGCACTCCAACGAATTATCCTTAGATGGTTGTGGGTGGTGGCTACCACTCAACCATTTGTCTGCATCCAGGTCATGCTGAGGGCCACATGTCTGCTGTCAGGTCAATTGGAGAAGATCCATTGAAGCTAATGGTGCTCCACCAATTTACATCAACAGAGAAATTTGAACAAAGTCTTCACAGGTCTGGGGCTTCCTGATCTCCAGAAAATGATCCCATGAAGGGGTGGCAATGAATATAGGGACAGTTCTTCCAGAACAGGCAGAATGATGTCAGGGACACACAGCTCACCAAGGTCAATCCTGATGAACCGTGGCATTCACAGATGAGGAAATCGTGTAACCAAAACACTGTTCCCGAATTCACATACTCATTGCAGCAGCCTCCCTCTGAGATAACTGTGAGGGGAAACTGTAACCAGAAACTCTCCTAACACCTCTCAGAGCTCTGACAGGGCTCTTGTTATATGATTAGACTTCCACAGAGGCAAACAAACTGCAGAACTAGTTCTCTTCAAGAGGCTCAACACTGCTGTTCGAGGACTATGTTTTCTCTTGGCTGAAGAGACATCTCTCCATAGATCTAGGGTCTTACTTCTGCACTAAAGCCTCAAAGAAGTTGCTGCTGTTCTGTTTCCTCTCTCTCCTCCAGCCCTCACCTCCCTTGACCCACAAAGCCACATAGTCAGGGGAATGCTTGCCCATTTTAGTATAATTCTTTTGACCAGTTTTGGTGCCTCTTGCGGCCCAAAGTTACAACCTGACCTATAGTACTATCTCAGTAAATATATTGGAGATAAACTAATTGCACATGAATTAGTGAAGAACCAGATAGACAATCAAAGTCAGAGGGGAATTTGTAAGTGAAACATATATATTTACCAGCATCACAGAAAGAGCTGCCTATGTCCTGTATTTCTTTGTCACCCTAGTTTTCCTAGTCCACACAGGACCCCAGCAGATGTGCATTCACTCTGGGATGGATTTACATTTTGGCAAAGCTTGAAGGGAGTTGTATTGTCATCTACGTCTGTTGTGACTACAAAAAAATAAGATAATTGCATGTATAATTTCCATATGCAAATTATTGCCTGGATTCAGTTAATTTGTTACTGAAAATGCTTCCAAGGTGGTGGGAGGTCTGTCAAAGGAAAGATACTAAAGGATAAATTAATTGTTGTTTAATAATACAATTTTCTCTACGTATTAAAATAAAGAGTATGAAGACAAAGTAACCACTATGCACCATTATCAGATGAAATACCATCTAATCACATTATCAGATTATACTATATTTTTGTATGAATCAACAAATGTTTAATGTGTTTTTTTTCTCTAAAGGCAAAAAGAATCATATTACAGAGGATTAAAACTATGTAAAAATATCTAGATTAATATCGCATCACTTAGGAATAAAGAACATGATGGGTAATGGGTAGATGACCCAGTTACAAAAATGTGGTGATTTAAATACAAAAATTCAACATGAAGTATTTTTAAACCTCACACCATTTAAAAGTCTTTGACTATACTTCAACAAAGGAGCCTTCTGTTATGCAAAGAAGTTGTACATCCTGGCACAGAAAGAAACATGAATTCGATTTTAATTGAAAGAAACCTTGACACCATCTCACCTAAGAAGCAGGTTTGTTTTTATTTCACAATGAAGCTATCATTCAAAATATGAATGGGCAATGTTCCCTCCTAGGTACATTGGTTTGTAATCCAGCAGTGAGCAAAGATGCTGTGGGCATGGCCAAAAAAGTAAACTGCATTAACCCAGCATAGCCAAAGCCCCCTTGTCTTTGTACCACACAGTTGAACAAAATAGGCACAGTCACTAGTAGGAATAGTTGCGGGGGGGGGAGGGGCGGGGAAATAAAAGAAGACGAGCCACTGTAAGAGCAAGATTGTGTAGTAGCCATTCCATAATTAAGGTTGAAGCTGACTTCCCATTATAAGCCTGATTTTCAAGTCTTGAAACTCTCTCCTCCTCCCAAAAAAACAGTCCCTCTGAAATTTTTCATGCCACATCTCAATCCAGGGTGGAAGTTTCTGGAAAGTTTGGGACAAGCCAGGATTTTTAAATTATGTTATCTGAAATTTTTCCTTCTGAAGTTTTGAAAAATGTCTTGACTTTTTGGCTCATCCTCTCTCCAAATGGCTCAAACTCATAGAAAGTAATATTCTACCTCTACCCTGCACCCCTTTAGTCGTCACTTATGAGCTTTCCTTAAATAGGTAAGTCATCATTCTCTCTATATTAAAACAGATGGAGTACCAAACCTTAGGTTTTATGTTGGGATTCTTCAACAATTTATTAACAGCTTGAACTACATTCTCTTGAGGGTTTATCCTGCCTGTTGAATCTGATTACATTAAAGTCCTTCGTTCATCAAGGGACACATTTGATCTACATATGATATTAAAAATGAAACAACCCATGCCTGAACAATATGTTTGTGACACAAACTGAAGAAGCCTGGAAGTTCAAATTTCCATCATGTAATCTTTTCCTAATGATATCAACCTTGAACACACATTTGCCTGTTTCTCCCATAAAAGCTCCCACTTCCATCTTTCATGCATGGAATGCCCTCTCCAAACTAACCCATTAGACCAGTACCCTCTTCTCCTTCACATCCCTTCTCAAGATCCACTTCCACTGCGACACCTACAGAAATCAGCTAGCTGATGATGACTAGGTTGCAGGCTACGTCATCCCCAAGGAATCTTCTCCGCAGAAAATTAGATTCCTTAAAATCTGACTTCAGTTAGCTTTACCCAAGAGAAAGAAAAGTGCTCTCTGAGATAGAATTTATATTTTCATCCCCTGGCCAACTCCTGGTTGAGTCGGGCTGGAGGACATTGCTCCAACGACAATGTGGTAGGGAACAGAAAAGCAGTGCTACTCACTTTCCTTCTAACCTTGTTTATACTAGGAAATGATGTCATGTTATTTTAAAACATGTTACCAAACATTTTTTAATGAACATGATTTTAAACAGGACTTGCATAAAAATAATAATATGGAGACCGGGCAAGTCATGTTTAAAAAAAAAAGGCTGACCATGATCAGCTAGCATGTTTTTTGAGCACAACTTGTCCTGTCCTGTCAGCTGACACATTTTAAAACACCACCTATATTTCCAGTCTCGACATGACCATAGAAGACTGAAAAAGTCACAGCCATTATTCTTTTCTATAGAGACAGCAGTCTGCGCACACTCATTGTTTAGTGGGACAAGGCACTCCCTGCACTTGACTATAAAAGTAGTTCAGTGTTAGGGGCCCAATCCTGTTCCCACTGAAGTCAACGGACGTTTTGCCACTAGTTATAATGAAGCCAAAACTGGGCCCAAATTTTGTAGTTAGGTCATCAGGGGACAGGACTAAAACTTGCTTTTTAAAGCAGTACATTGTGGGTGTTCCCCACATGCAGTTCCACAGGGGAGTATTTTACAGCCCAAGTCTGACGTCACTCTTCAGAGACCAAAGGGCAGCCCATCTATTTTCTCAATCTTTTCCCTCTCGGAATTGAGTGAGAGCTATCCACGCAGGCGGGTTCATGAGGCAGGTGTAGGAAGTTTTCTCCAATACCTTTTGGTCTCTTTCCTTTTCCCCTCTATTATTAAAAAAATTGTCTCATGCTAGCCAGTTGTTCCATTTCATTTTTCCCTTTAGATTATTGAAACTTGTTATATTTTGCAGGTGTGTTAGTTGTTGCATTATGCATGTATCTGGTTCGAAATCAATTGCTGACTGCAGCTAAGCCCTTTGGTCTGAGGGCCTCTGTCCACTGGACAGTTTCTTCCGTGGATGTCAATCCCTTGTGTGACTGAATTGCCATGGTAGTTTCTGATACAGAAGCTCTCGTGCCAAAACTGGTGTTTAGATCTGGAGGGAAAGTTTTGCTCATTGCACTGGAGAAAATATGCTGATGACTTAGGCTATGTCCACACTATGGACCTTGCAGGGGCACAGCTGAACCGCTGAAGCTGCGCTGCTGTAAGGTCTCCTGTGTAGCTGCTCTATGCCGGCAGCAGAAAGCTCTCTCACTGGCATAAGTAAACCACCCCCAATGAGTGGTGGTAGCTATGTCAGTGGCAGACCGTCTCCCGCCGACATAGCACTGTCCACACTGGCGCTTTTGTCTGTGAAACTTATGTTGGTCAAGGGTGTGTTTTTTCAAGGGTGTGTTTGCCAAAAAAAGTGCTAGTGTAGACAAAGCCTTAGTTCCCCTCTCTTTTCATCTGCATCTTGTTAAGTACTTGACCTCAGCTACTCCTAACAGACTGGCAGAGAGGATTGTAGGCGTTCCTTCCCCAAACCATCAATCCCTCCAAGTCTGTCAGCAGACACACAGAATCAATGAAATGAAGGACTGGGAGGGACCTTGAGAGGTCATCTAGTTCGGTCCCCTGCACTGAGACAGGACTAAATATTATCTAGACCATCCCTGATAGGTGTTTGTCTAACCTGTTCTTAAAAACCTCCACTGAGAGGGATTCCACAATCTTCCTAGGTAATTTGTTCCAATGCTTAACTACCCTTACCATTGGGAAGTTTTTCATAATGTCTAACTTAACTCTCCCTTGCTGCAATTTAAGCCCACTGCTTCTACTCCTGTCCTCAGTGGATAAGGAGAACAATTTATCACCTGCTCTTTACAACAACTTTTCATCTACTTGAAGACAGTGATCATGTCCCCCCTAAGTCTTCTCTTCCCCAGACTAAACAAACTGTTTTTCAATTTTTCCTCATAGGTCATCTTTTCTAGACCTTTAATCATTTTTGTGGCTCTTCTCTGGACTTTCTCCAATTTGTCCACATCTTTCCTGAAGTGTGGTACCCAGAACTGGACACAAAACTCCAGCTGAGCCTTATCAGTGCTGGGTACAGTGGAAGAATTATTTATCGTCTTGTTCACCACACTGCTGCTAATACACCCCAGAATGACGTTCACTTTGTTTGCAACAGCGTTACACTGTTGACTCATATTTAGCTTGTGAACAACTATAACCCCCAGATCCTTTTCTGCAGTACTCCTTCTTAGGCAGCCATTTCCATTTTGTATTTGTTCAATTGATTTACTCCTTCTTAAAGGAAGGAATGAGGAGGTTCTTCATGAAATTACCTCTAATTTATGTAGAAATGGGGTAGTTAATTAAGAACCCTCTTTCTCCCAAAATGTTCACGTTTCAGAACCTTAGGGAGTTGGTTATAGAAATGATCAACCAAGTCCCTAGACAACCCTCTGCACAGCAGAAGTGCCAAAATCTCCAGAAAAACCCCACCCATCTCTCACATTTCCTGCCATGCTTTAGTGTGTGGGAATGCTAGAAATCTCACATGAAAGCTTGTTCACTGAGACTGAGTCCAATTTTAAGATGCAAAAAGCTTGGATAGTTCAGATACAAATGTCAGAATAACATCCAAACTCCTAAGAGTCTCCCATCCCTGGTCTCATATTTTAGGGTGACCAGATGTCCCGATTTTATAGGGATAGTCCCAATTTTGGGGACTTTTTCTTTTATAGGCTCCTATTACCACCCACTGTCCCTGTTCCAATTTTTCACATTTGCTGTCTGGTCACCCCACATATTCTCCTGACTTTGGAAAAGTCACGTTCACACCTGATGTTTTTCATTGGGTATTATTCTGCTTTGGTACTAGGTAACCACACAATAGAAAGAGATAGAAAGGATATGCAGAGCAGAAGTGACACCAACTTAATTTTTAAGTATGTAGCAAACCTTTCAGTGTGTTTGTGGCCTGCTAACTACATTCAATACATTGCCATCTTCTACACAGGAACCAGTCATGATGGCAAGGAAAACAGTGAGAGAGAGAGCGCAAGTTCTGAGACTGATCTACTTTCACTATCATTTTAACAATTACTGGAGTGCAGCTCAAAACTCCCCTTTCTGCAGAGGGAAAAGCAGTTCATGGCACAGACACTGGGTGTAAAAGCACGACACTATCATATAAATATTCCGTTTTGTTTCTCTTTCAGAGACAGAGTTTATAAAATATGCA